TAGCAATGGAGTGGGCGAAGGACGCTTGGCGCTCTGTGGCACCATCGACAGTGGTGAACTGTTGGCGACGTACCGGAATCCTTGACAATGACTTGGCTGCGTTCAGCGAGCGAATGGCTCAGGTTCAATTGCAGTGACGAAAGGTTCTGTAAAAACGAATAACCTTTTGAGTTTATGAACTGTGAGAGTTTTTATTTTTATTTGTGTCCAAGTCGGGGGGAGATCAGTAACACAGCCACAGATTTATCCGTACTTGACTTTCGTTACTGTAGAAGACGAAGCATTGAATTGATTGAAACTCATATTGTGTTAGTTCAGTAGTTCTACTATCTGTAGGACGTTCGGACAGGCGTAGCTACGAAGGCAAGGATTGGCTTGCATCTAAAGTAACACGCCTCGGCAACTGGCACCAAAGCGCCAGCTGCAAAGGAGTTTTTCTATACTAGTACTTATCTGGTGCTTTTAATAGCCACTGGTACAACTCCGGCCGGATGTACTGCTAGACGCGGCAGACTAACCTGCGGCGTCGGGCGCCGCCTAATTTGCTTTTCGTAGTTCCTACAAGTGTGTACATGTAACGGGGTCCGGATAACATCCGGACACGGCATCCCATTGGTCAGTTCCAATCCTGACCCGAGAGGACACTTGGCAATCCAAGTGTCTCGAATCACTGGCCCACCATTCATTTGACATGAATTGCATGACTGGCGCGCAGCCGCGCACCAAGGAAACCAGCTCAGAGATAGCTAGTTCTCTCAGTTAACAATATACCTGTTCTACAGACCTTCCTCTGTGCACCCCGGTACACCTGGTAGCACTCCAGTTCGTCCATCGACCTTCGCCTCCGCCGCGCAATGTCCTCTGCCCAATTCTCCGAGACCCACCTTGTCACGAACCGACACATGTGTTTCGCTCTCGGGGAACAAGACGCTTGGAGCCTGATCCACGCCCTGGCACCTCCAGCACAGCTCCACCTGGTTGAAAGCTTTGCTCGCCATGGCGAGAATGCTCGGCAAGACATTGCGGCGCAAGCGCAATCGCATGCTTCCGAGCGCGATGCCGCACTACAAGAAGTTTCCGACCTCAACGCTCGAGGACGTGCTCTTGAGGACACCCTCCATCACTCCAGACAGCTTCAAAGCCGAAGCAACGCGCCGTAAAGCTCGAAGTCCCCAAGTATGGAGGACTTGCCTCCTACCAACTGCTTCGTTGGATCAAGCAAGTTAGTCGTGCCGCGGATGCTTTCAACATCGATGACGATGAGATCTGCGTGTCTTTCGCCATGTCGCACCTTACTGGTCGTGTGGATGATTTGGCCTAGGGCCTAACTTGTGAAGACGGCTTTGTGTTTGCCAATTTCGATGATTTCATCGAACAATTGAAGGCAGCGTTCCTGCCAGCGAACAGCGACTTCCGATACCTCGCGGAGTACCCTATCTTCCCGGCAAGGCAAGCGCTCTATTCGTGAGTGCGTCCACGATCTGCGCTTCCTTGCGTTCTGTGTCACCCAGAAGTCTTTACTCTCCGAAGAGACTAAGGTGACTATTTTTATGAACGGCCTCAACGACTCAGCTGCGCACACGCAGCTTTTTCGGACATATCCTTCGACATTCGAAGATGCCGTCCGCACCGCGCTGGCCGAAGAGTTTTCGGTTCTCCAATCGCCCCGCGACCAAGACCCGCGACCCGCATGACATGGAGGTCTCTGCTATGACCTCACCCCCCACCGACCGTCGTTGCTTCAACTGCAACCGACCGGGACACTTCTCCCGCGAGTGTCGCCAACCACGCCGTGCGCAGACATCCGCTCGTGGTACTGCCGCATCCCCTGCACCCCGCTTCGCGCATCCCGTTGTCGATCGCGCACGCGGCGGTCGCGAGTTTCCTCGCGGGCGGGGAAACGGGACTCCTCAGTAGGCGCGAGGCATCCTGCTGAGGCTACAGAGTGCTTGCAGTTTGATCGTGGTGGCATAACACGATCAGCAGGCCCTGCCTCGGACACAGTGATTCTGTGTCAAATCGGAAGACAACCTTCCCGCATGTTGTCCTTCCCCAGTCGTATCTCTGGGTACGACCGTTTGTTCCGCGTCCTCATCGACAGCGGTGTGTCGGAAAATTATGCCCGACGCGCATCAATTCAGCTGAATCGTTCCATCTACCCACCCGGCGCGCATCGCCGCACTCCGTCGTGCGTGTAAAGATGGCTGATGGCAAGGTTGTCACCTCGCCGAATGTCCTTGTCGACCTTCCCACGATGGTGGGAGATTTTGTCTCGACCGAACAATTCTACGTCATCGACCTCGATGACCGCTGGGATTTGATCCTTGGCATGCGATGATTGGAGAAACACCAACCCTAAATCGATTGGCGATCCAAGACCATGCGCAAGATCGCATCCGTCCACCCTTCTACCGACCTAGGCGTGATGAGTAATGAACTCACTCCTTTGCCTGGTCTGGTGACGCCGTTAGTCACGCATCCCACCGCCTCGGCTACGAGGCTGGACGTACTTTCCGCCATGGTTGGCGATGCCGCCACGATTGGCGATGATATGGGAGCCGCCATGGTTGGCGATGCCGCCACGTTTGGCGATGATTCGAGAACCGCCATGAACGGCGATGGTCCGAATTCCACCCCCAGTGGACACTCGACGCGTGATGCTCACGCTTTTGTCCTCTCAGCCTGCGACCTGTCCGAGTTGCCGCTGACTGCCGCTGAGATCACTCAGCTGCCAGAGATGAGCTATCTCTCTTTCGCCCGCGCGCTACGCGGGCACGACAACATCAGCATTGCTCTCATCACGGAGAGCCAGGAGATAGACCTCCTGATTTCCTCGACAACCGACGATCCCGACGAGGAGGATGTGTCTCGTCCTTCCTCATCGGTATGGAAGGATTTGGAATCGAACCCATACTACGACTTGGTTCGTGAGTTCCAAGATATCTTCCCGGACAATGTTCCGGAATGCCTCCCCAAAGACAAAGGGGTATGGCATGGCATTGACTTGGTGCCGGGCACCAAGTGGTGCGTCACTCGACAGTGGCCACTTCCACGCGACCAAGTCGCGTACATTGACGAGTTCTTTGCTGCACGCAAGCGAGCCGGTCATGTGCGGGAGAGCAAGTATCCGCACTCCAGTCCCACTTTCTGTGTGAAGAAAGGCAACGGGAAATGGCGCATTGTTCACGCCTACAACAAGCTGAACTCGGCCACAATCCCGGCGCAGACGCCGATCCCGCGCAAGGATGTCATCATTGACTCCATGGGACAGTCCACGATCTTCAGTACCATCGACCTTCGCGATGGGTTCTACCAGATCCTGATGAACATCAGGGACATCGAGAAGACAGCCGTCTCTACACCCAGTGGAATGCTCTGGGAATGGCTGGTGATGCCCCAGGGGCTCAAGAACGCCCCTGCTACTTTCAATCGCGTCGTCACGGAGAAACTCCGTCCATTTCGCGAATTTGCTCCGTCGTATTTCGACGACGTCTACATCCACAGCCGCGCCAGTTTGTCGCAATCCGACGCGGATGTCCACCGGTCACACCTACGTTTGGTGTTTGAGACACTGCGAGGCACCGGTCTATAAGCGAACCTGTCGAAGTGCCTCGTCGGGATACACGAGATTTCTGTCCTCGGCGACTTCGTTGGCATCAACGGCTGCCGGGCGGACCCGGCCAAGGTTACCGTAATCAAAGCTTGTCCAACGCCAAGCTCAGTCCCCGAACTGCGTAGTTGGATGGGATTCGCCACCTATCTGCACAAGTACCCGGCGAATTTCGCCGACCTGGCATGCCCGATGAAACGCTTACTTGGCAAGGACGTTCCTTGGGTATGGTCCCATGAGTGCCAAGTGGCCTTCGAGGCCGTCAAGGCGAGCCTCACCATGGCCCCAGTTCTGGCTCTGCCAGACTTTTCCAGACCTTTCTTCGTGGTCTGCGACGCATCCATTCGCGCCATCGGTTGCTGCCTGATGCAGCGCGACGATTCGGGCAGGGATCGCCCGGTATCGTTCCAATCCCGCCAGCTCCACAAGTCCGAGAAGAACTATCCCGTTCATGACTTGGAGCTTCTGGCGATGTACTACGCCCTCAAGAAGTTTCGAATTTACCTCCTGGGTTCGGAGGAATTCGTGGTCTTCACTGACCACGCATCGCTACGCACGGCCGTCCACTCACCGCATCTGTCCCAGCGCATGCAGCGCTGGCTCTCCTTCTTTTCGGAATTCAACATGAAGGTTGAATACAAGCCTGGCCGCGACAACGTTGTCGCGGATGCTTTGTCCCGACTCCCGTCGGCAGACAACATGGAGC